TGGGCCACATTAATGTCCGCTGGCCACCCTAATGTCCACCTCCTGCCGTTCATCTAGCTTTACTATTGGATTTTTCTCTTCCAACAAAGTTTTTTTGGGAACCTACTCTCAAATAAGTATACTTCTGACTATTCCAGCATAACTATTCAGCACCAAGAGCTTCGGTCTTCATGGTTCTGACCCTCTGGGCCTTATTCACGGAGAGATAAGGAATCAATGACGCTTCTCAACCATGATTTTCAGCCCCTGATCCATTTATTTGCACAAAAATTTCTTCCCTTGGCTCAGTCTCTCACTCAAACTACTTTTAATGATACCTAGTGATTTTCTTCTTTCCTTGTTTTGTTTGGTTTGGGGGCTACACCCAGTGGTGCTCAGGGCCTCACCATGTGCTCAGGGGTGACTCCTGGAAGGACTCAAGGGACGAAATGAAACACAGGGAACAACCCAGGGTCAGCTGCACTCAAGGCAAGAACTCTGCCCTCTCTCCTATCTCTCCAGCCCGATATTTAGTGGTTTTTCACCAGAGACAGTTTACCCAGGGACGTGGGTAGGTAATGCTCTAGGGGAAGGAATTAATAGAGTGTTTGAAACCTTTTATGAGCATACATCCAATGCTATATGAGGCTTAGCAGACTATAATTTCTATGTGGTAACCTCACATTGTAAGGAAATGATGATTATATAGAAATTTCAGAACAAGAAGATATTTGGAAGGTGGCAGAGTCACTCATACATTTCTGAGATTTTTATCTGATTTCAGGACATAGATTTGCTCAAGCGGGCCCAGTAACGTCTCCATTGGAGACTTTGTTGTTACTGTGTCTGGCATATCGAATACTCTCGGTAGCTTGCCGGGCTCTCCGAGAGGGGCGGAGGAATCGAACTCGGGTCGGCCATGTTGGCCGCTTGTAAGGCGAACGCCCTACCCGCTGTGCTATCGCTCCAGGACATAGAACTTAGTCCATGTGAGCAGCAATTTAATAGTGGCTTGAAATGAAAGAATTAAAACAAATTTATACCCACTGGCAGTGACATTTTTGTACAATTAAAATGCGTATGTCAAGGAGTGAGATAAACATGAACATATATAGTACTGTCCTTCCGTTGTTCATCGATTTGCTCGAGCAGGCACTAGGAACGTCTGCATTGTGAGACATGTTGTTACTGTGTTTAGCATATCGAATATGCCATGGGGAGCTTGCCAGGCTCTGCCATGCGGGCAGGACACTCTCTGTAGCTTGCCAGGCTCTCCAAGAGGGACAGAGGCATGCAAGGCAAACACCCTACCCGCTATGCTATCACTATATGTGCGTGTGTGTGTCTGTGTGTCCTGATGCTATTGCCAGCTTGATGCTCAGGGATCACTCTGGTGGTGTTCTAGGGACCACGTGGTTCCCAGGATTCAGGGATCACCCCAATGGTGTCTGACTGTGGTTCTTGGGATTCAGGGATCATCCCAGGTGTTGTTCGAGGGACCATGTGCTTCCTAGAAATGAATCTGGAGTTTCCACATTCACTTTAGCCTTTGAAGCTCTCTTCCAGCACAGTTTGATAATTTCAAGTACAGCCAGAGGCCTCCAGTAGATCAAAGAATGACTGACTACAAAACCTTCCCAAGTAAGGGTCAGGTCAGGCTCTGCAGATGTGGGTGTTGACTCTGTCTGTGCATGCTGGGAAGGTTCCACAGTAGATCTCATTTCACACTTGCAGTTAAGGTTGATGGACAGATTTCACTGACAGAGCTAGTTCACTTTACCTGAATGTACCCTATTAAGGTCTAAGAGTAAACTAAGAAGAGGCAGAAGAAAACCAATCTCTAACTCAAATAGTGCCAAACTTTTCATACCGTAAGGATGAACAGAAACCGGCTGATTCCCCAACTGTCACTGTCACTGTCCTCCCGTTGTTCATCGATTTGCTCAAGCGGGCCCAGTAACGTCTCCATTGGAGACTTTGTTGTTACCGTGTTTGGCATATCCAATATGTCACGGGGAGCTTGCCAGGCTATAAATGCATCTATCCTTTGACCCAGCAGGTCACTTTCAGAAAGTCAGATACACTTAGGTGTGTTGTAATGACACCTCTCAAAGGCTGTCATTGTAGTCGTCACATGTAGTCACAGATAGGCATTTGTAGTCTCTAAAGACAAGAAACAATCAGATGCCAATCATTAAAACACGTAATACAACCGGTACACACACGTAAGGAACAGAACAGAGTACTGGGGTCAGGGATGGGGAAAGAAGAATCAGCGAATAAAGGTCTTTATGTGAAAAGGAATAACTTTTAAATTATTCTATTGTATTTTAAAAGGACTCGAATGCATGGCATGTTTTATTCATGTTAAGTGTAGCTCTCTTGTTCCTGGGAGGAGACAGGTTTTGAGGGAGATTTTCATTCATAAAATCCTGCATTTTAGCCATGTAAGTGAACTTCAACTGAATTTTTAAAAATTAAAAATATACAAAAATGATTTTACATTATTAATAACCTCACAAGACTATACTAGTCAAGTACTTTTGGAGGAAATAGCAGAACACTGATTATGCCAAATTAAAAATTATTTTGGAAGGTCACCAAATGCACTGCACTAAACAAACCTATTAAAATATGAGATGGATTACTTAGAGATCCATTTGTATCTAAATAAGTAGAATGCTCATGGTAGAATAGTGTTTTAACTGTCACTGAGTGTGTAAATGAGTCGGGTTGATGTTTCAAATTTAACAGCTTCTGGTTCCCAGAACCTGAGGCCAACACTCCATTTTCCTACCATGCAGTGCGTAATTCCTTGTGTGTTCAACTGCTGGCAGGTTGTATTCAAAAGAGCACAGTTGTGAGCCACTCTTTAAGATTTTTGCTCTTTGCAGCTTATTCAAAAACAAAAAGATAATTCCGACAGGGTAAAACTGCAAGTTTCATTTTTCCCAACAGAACACTGATTTGTCATCTACATCGTTAGTGCCAGGGTTTCACTGATGTTTTAGCCAAAGCTCTTGACTTCTGTGGCCCTTGGTTTCTGCCATGAAGTCCCTGCCCAGAGGGATGGCCTCTCCTCTCGAGGGAACAAACTGCTTCTTGGTACAAGGTTTCCACCAGCGCTGTACTGTGCTTCAGGGTCCCCGAACAGGTTTCTTTGATGTCTCTTTGTTTGAGCATTGAATCTCCACAAACACCACCAGAAAATCCTCTCAAAATGTCTATTCTCTTCTGCAAGGAGTCTTCCAGTCTTGCATAAGATTAGAAATTTTCAATAAAGAAAGAAAATGTTTTTTAAAAAACCAAAGTCCCATCTCGACACTTTCCTATCAAACCTTTGAAAGCTTTTTTTTTAAAGCCAGCGGAGCTTTTATTTATTTATTTATTTTGGCTTTTTGGGTCACACCTGGCGAAGCACAGGGGTTACTCCTGGCTCTGCACTCAGGAGTTACTCCTGGTGGTGCTCAAGGGACCATATGGGATGCTGGGAATCGAACCTGGGTCGGCCGCGTGCGAGGCAAAAGCCCTACCTGCTGTGCTATCTCTCCAGCCCCTGAAAGCTTTTAGATATTTGTTAAATAGTTTAGAACTCTCCCATCCTACTTCTCCTGTTTAAAGAACATGAATGTAAGGAGCCAGAGAGAGAGAGTACAGTGGGTAGGGCACTAGTCTTGCACATGGCCGATCCAGGTTTAATCCCCGGTACCACATGTGGTTCCCCAAGCCCCATGAAGAAGAGTGATCCCTGAACTCAGGGCCAGAATAAGCCCCAAGCATTACCAGTGGGGCCCAAAAAACAAACAAAAAAACACAATGAATGTAGAGTATGCAGAAAGTTTTCCAGATTCTCTAGGTTTTGACATCTATTTTTGATAAAATCGTAAAAACTGAGCTATGAAGCAACCCATCCTAAATAACAAAGAGATGAATTGCATGCATCTTTCTGTCACAGAGCCTAGACCATTCACTCCCCAAAAGTTCTACATGCTTAAATCATCCCAAGGGAAAGGGAACCCCCAGTACCACAGACTGCAGACCCTGTTTTTTCCTTGGTATCCACTGTGAGTGTATGAAAGAAACCAGATCACCTGGTAAGAGTTCTTTGTTCTTTGTTGACTGCAACTGGGAAGCCTACAGCAGTACGTTATAATAAAACACCATCGCTTGGAATGCAGTGAATCAAGAGAACTCCCTGTTAATATTCGAACAGTCTGGAGCTCAGGCAAGTGTGAGCCCCCCACCTCCACTCCTCCCTGGGGGGGCACTGGAATGATCCCAGGATGGCAGCAGGCCCTGATGAAGGTAGGGGCATTCAGGGGGAATGTCCTGGTTTGTTCAGAAGAAAAGAAAGAGTTGACTGATGCTTTTTCCTAAAAAGGTATAAGAGACCAAAAACATTTGGGAACTTCAAGCTGGAAATCATTTCAAGTTAGACGTGTCACTTATTAAAGTCAGAACAGTCACAATAATGTAAACATAAAGAATGCTGGCCTGGAGAGAGTCCAGGGGTAAAGCAGTTGCCTTGCATGCAGTGTCCTGGACTCAATTCCCCAGCACCTCGGTCCCAGAGCACTGTCAGAAGTGATTTCTGAGTACAGAGTCACAAGCAAGCCCTGACGACCAGTGGGTATGACCCCCGTCCCCTCAAAAAAAAAAAAAACAGCACAACAGCAGCAAAGAATAATTTTTTCCCTCTCTTTCAGTTTTTGGACCACACCCAGCGGTGCTCAGGGATGACTCTTGGCAGCCTCAGGGGACCAGACGGGGTGCCAGGGATGGAACGAGGGTCAACTTCGCACTGAGTAGATGCCCTACCACTTACACTACTGTTCCAGCCCCAAGAATACTCTCAACATTCTCTTCAAGAGGGAAAAAGCACGTTAGACAATAATCTGATGCTGCAGTGAAGGTGTTTTCAGGAACAGCCGAGTGTGCCGGGAGCTGATTCATGCTGACCACCTGTTTCATGCACCCCAAAGAGCTGTAAAGCAGCAGAGCCGAGCCGTGTGTGCACTCACCGTGCTCCGTCAAGAAGTCGACCAGGGTTCTCACCGGAGTAGGGACCCCATGCTCAGTGAGTCCCCGCTGCTCCAGCTCCTGCAGAGGGACCCCGAAGACCTTCTGGCTGCAGGAACCATTCTGTGGGCCGGGCGGCTCGGCCAGGCCCCCTCCCGGGTCCTCCTTCAGCCGGGCCGTGGCCTTCCTCCGCTTGAAAGAACGTGAGAAGAAAGAGCAGTCAGCCACCGAGCCCACGGGGGCCTGCATGGAGCAGCAGGGACACCAGGAGGAGAACGCCAGCATCGGGAGCCCGGCCCAGCACCCTTCCGCAGCGAGGGAGAGCCTCGAACCTCTCTCCCATCCGGGGCGCACCCGGGTAGGATGATCGGAGCGAGAAACCCAAAGCCACAACTCAACTGTCGCTAGGAGAGCGCAATACACTGCAGTATCTAAGAGATGTTACTACAGTGACCAGGGTGTGACTGAGAAGCACCCAGTTCAGGGCAAATACAACAGCGGTTTAGCACACGACACCCCCACACGCAGGTGCTGGCACAAGGCACTGTTTCTAAGGCTGAACACTGAGCTAGGTGCCACTGGAAGGTCGCGTGACTTGCAGTGTTAGGAAGACACATAAATGTAGATTTTAATGGCCTGATTGGGTCAGATCTATCAGAAATGTTTTGGCTAAGAAAAGTCAAGCCCGTCTTTGTGCAGGTTTAAAACGCCCTTTCTCTGAAACACCAACAAATGATATCCAAACAGAAGATGTTCTGCATTGGAAACATGACTAAGCGTTTTTTTTTTTTCCAACAAGACTGTACCTATCAGAAGTTACAGCTCTAACTTTGACTTTTTTTTTTTTTAATTTTTATTAGTGAAACACCATGAGGTACAGTTGTGGACTTGCAAATTTTTGTGCTTGGGTTTCAATTATACAATGATCAAGTACGCATCCCTCCACCAGTGCCCATTTCCCACCACCACGGATCCCAGTATCCCTCCCGCCCCCCCATTCCCCCCCCACCCCACCTTGCCTCTGTGGCAGGGCATCCCCTTTTGTTCTCTCTCTCCTCTTGGGTGCTATGGTTTGCATTCCGTGGCAATCATGTTGGGTCTATAGTCTAGTTTCAGCATGCATCTGCCATCCTGGGAGGATCCTCCCAACACCCTTTATTTGGTGCTCCCTTCTCTATCTGAGCTCCCTTTTCCCCTAGAGTGTGCGGCTGGCCTCCAAGCCATGGAGTAAAATTCCTGGTACTTATCTCAGCTATTCTTGGGTGTTAGTCTCCTATTTTGTTACTTTATGTTCCCCAGATAAATGCAATCTCTCCATGAACTTTGACTCTGTCAACTCAAATTATAGTCCTCAGACCAAGGAAGGCGCTTCAAATTGCTTGGGACAGATCCTCATCCTAAGGAAGTGTTATTAGAACTCAGTTTGAATATGGCTTACTGGAACTAAGTAAGGGCATTTCTTTTAAAGTGTGTCCTACGAAAGTAAAGTATATCCTACATGGAAATTAAATATCTGGAGTCTAAACACCGAAGGGGTGCAAAAAGTTTTCTCTGGGACCTGATGCAGCAGGTGAGAGGTATTTTCACTTTTGGAGAATGACTGCAGCAACTAAGGGAGGTATAAATCTTTGGGGAAGAGAACCGTACTTGGTGGTGCTCAGGGATTTCTCCTGCCTCTGTGCTCAGGGATCTCACCTGTCAGTGCTTGGGGAACCATCCGTGGTGTCGGGACAAGACCCAGGTGAGCTGGTGCAAGTCCACTGCCTTCTCTTCTGTACTAACTCTCCAGCCCCGAGAGTATAAATTTGGTAAATGCACGCTCATGTATCTGCTTCACTCCAAAAGCAGAAATATTACCTCCAGTTGAAGAAAATATACTATCACAGCCAGGTAATGGGCTAAAAGTCACAGAACTGGTCAAAGTTTCTTCCAATCCTAAGATTGCCTCTTCATTTAAATTCCTATTGATATCACAGAGTCGTTTGCATACAAGTATAGAAGCAAGCTATGACAAGTGCCACAAGTCCCCAAGACAAAGACACCAAGCTAATGCTATAATTTTGATTGCGTACAGGGACCCTGAGATCTCAGTTTGTGTTTAAGAAGTAAGCCATGCTGAAAAAGACTTCCACTGAGACCTGGGCATCTTCTCATAAATCATATTTGGAAGCTAGATTTTCTACTTGTTGGGGGAAATGTGAAGTCTCAATACAGACCAGGGGCCTGCTTGCATTTTATGTTTTTAAATTTTATAAAGTTGTTCACAATAATTTATTACATTTAATATCCCAACACCATCCCACCACTATTATCCCTTCTCACCACCATATTTCGAATGTTTCCCCACCCCAAACCCCAAAGTTTGCCCCCAAAACAGGACCTAAATTATTTATTTTGTATTGCTTGTTATAAATAATCCACTCAAAGTGATCCCAAAAAGTTTCCTTAGAGCAAAAAGTGCGAAGCTTGTGGAATCTCACCCTGGAGCCTCTAAGCCCTTGTCTTGGTACAACAGCTGTGTAGAGTGTGAGATGTCGCTCCAGGAATTCTAACATTTTAAATACGGTGAAACCCCTGAGGTTAATTTAATTTTTCTTTTTTAACTGGACGGTGACTTTGGAGTCCGGAATCATCTCTGCAGCATGTTGCTTTTGTGTTGCTCTCTTTCGAGAGGTTTATTTGTGAGTCTCTGGATCGTGGTCATTAATGAGCTTCTATGGCATGGGAGGTGGTTTGTCTGCCTGACTACCAGGCTTCCAGAAGGACGAGGAGATGGGGGAGGTCACCCATTCCCCACTCCATGAGAGCCTGGAGATTTCAGTCACAAGTCCCGCATACCTGGGTTTTCCAACTGCCTGTGTTCTAGACAGGAACATGAGCTCCTGCCAGGGGGACATCTGCCAGGAAATGCGATCTCTCTTATTCAAAGAACTCAGCATTTATTCAGTCAAATTTGTAACCACTAATTATTTTTTCTTGTGGGTTTCGAAATACTAGTTTGAATATGTGGAAATTTCAGTCCCAAGGTCTATGGGGGCGGGGGAAGCAGTCAAACAATCACCAGGTATCATGAAGCTTTGAACACAGTCTCAAAGGGAGCTTGGAAAACAGCTGACACCTACTTCCCCCTCCCTCCTCTCTAAGGGAAAGACCAGGGGGCACAGGGTAGACAGAGGAACCAGACTCCTGCCATCTGCGACAGCATCCTGCTCTGGTCAGCGGTGAGCCTCAGGCAAGCCTGGGTCCTGCCTGCTCAGATTCCCACCTGCAAGACAAGGATACGCAGCGTTCCCAGCTCTCGGGACAGAGCCAGGCTGGCCGGGATGACTTCCTGTGCCCAGAAGGGCAGGCCTGGACACCGGAAGGAGGAGGATGTGGCCATTTATTGTGATCATTTTTCTCTCCCAGGTCACCATTCTGCTTTTTCTCTGCTCTAAAAGGCAGAGTGCCACTTGCCCGCTGTTGACGAAACTTGCTCCTAGGACAACAACGTGGACTATGGCCTCTGGAGAAGACAGTGTTCTTTTCTTTTTCACGATTTTATTAATTTTTAATTTTTTTTTTTTTTTACATTTTGTTCTCTTGTCTCACCCCCACACTTTTCTCTAGGTAAATTTTATCTAACTGCTTGGATAAGGGAAATTTATCTAAGTAAATGTCTTTCAATAAGACTATTTACTTAACTAAGAAGAATTTTTTAAAGACATCACGGACAAGACATATTTAGTTAAAAACTTTTGTTGTTCACCCAATAAGAGAGAGAACAAAAGGGAATGCCCTGCCACAGAGGCAGGGTGGGATGGGGGGATGGGGAGATGGGAGGGATACTGGGATCCGTGGTGGTGGGAAATGGGCACTGGTGGAGGGATGGGTGTTTGATCATTGTATAATTGAAACCCAAGTACAAAAAAATTGTATGTCTACAACTGTACCTCATGGTGTCTCACTAATAAAAATAAATAAAAAAAAAACCTTTTGTTGGTAAGAGCAAGTTTATATAGCTGTTTCACTCTAAAAGTAGAAATAGTACCCTCACTTTAGAGTCAAAGATAATATAGTATCAAAGGCAAGTAATTGGCTGAAAGTCACAGAACTGGTGAAAGTCTCATCCAAACCCAGCTATTGAGCTAATGTTCCTCCATTTACTTCTAATTCCCAAAATACATAATTATGGCTTTTAAATGATAAAGGTGAGTTTGTTTTGGTTTGGGGGCATGTCTTGTGGTGCTCAGGGCTCACTCCTGGCGGAGCTGGGGGTACCCTAGGTAGTGCCGGAACCGAACCTGCGAAGGAAGAGAATCCTCTGTACTTAAAAATGTGTGGAGAGCTGGACGATGGCCCCAAGTGTGCCATGAGGCTCATGTTCTGTCCCTGATGCTGCCATGGCACCGACCACCATCCCTATATCTCTGCTCTCTGCAGCTGGAGCACAGCTCGGGGCTCAGACACGAGCACTGGCCTGGGGGGAACCTTGGGCACGCACATGCCTGGGCAAGGCAGAGCCACAGGGTGAGCACAACACCTGGGGGTGTGAACCACAGCTAGAACCTGCAACACCCCTGCCTCTAGGTCCATCACAACAATCTAAAATAACATAACATGGGACTCGAGCGATAGCACAGCAGGTAGGGCGTTTGCCTTGCACTTGGCCTACCTGGGTTCGATTCCCAGCATCCCATATGGTCCCCTGAGCACCGCCAGGAGTAATTCCTGAGTTACAGAGTCAGGAGTAACCCCTGTGCATTGCTGGGTGTGACCCCCCCCCCAAAAAAAAAATAACATAACGTGAGACTGACAACCAAGGACAGTAGACACAAGGGCCAGAAATACTGCTCCATAGTTGGAAGCCTGCCTCATGCGCTGGGGGAGAAGGCAGCTGGGATAGAGAAGGGATCACTGTGTCAGTGATGGCTGGACGGATCGCTCGGGATGGGAGATGTGTGCTGAAAGTAGACAAAGGACCAAACGTGATGGCCTCTCAAGTATCTGCACTGCAAACCACAGTGCCCAAAAGCAGAGAGAGGGAGTATAGGGGAAACTGTCTGCCATAGAGGCAGGAGGAGGGAAGGGATGGGGAGAGATACTGGGGACACTGGTGGTAGAAAAATGTACCTGGTGGAGGGATGGGTGTTCGATCATTGTATGACAGAAACTCAAACATGAAAGCTTTGTAACTGTAGCTCATGATGATT